AACACATAGATAGATATTTGTGGTTAGGGTCTTTGCACATCATTTGACTACTGGAAGCAATTTAAATATTCTCTAGACTATAGTAGCAGGATTTGTTGAAAACTTCGAGTGGACCACCTCATTTTGATGCTTCCAAATCGTCTAGCAATGAACAAGAAATAAGGCAAACTCATTTGTGTCTAAAAAATTATGTTTGTCCTTTACCCATTGTTCTAGGTTTATCCCTGACTTAAGGATGATCTTATGAAGGGAGCTCAGCTTCCAAGAGAATTTGGCCCAATAACAATTTTGTAGGATGTGAACACACGACTCAGCATCTTTATGACACTTAACACAAGTTATCCGTCTTGATCTTCCTTCGCAAAAAGATTCTCATTTCTTAGCAAAACATTCAAACAAAATCGCCAAATAAAAATTTCCACCTTATTCGGAACGTTTTGCTTCCATAAAAAATCTCAATTCACATTACCTGCACTACTACAAGGCTGGTTGAGGGTTTGCCTCTGAGGCTGTCAGATTTTGCTCAGTTGTAACAAAATAGGCACTGGGTACCAAAATCTTCCATTCTAGTTATAATGCCACACTAATATGTCCTCAGCCAAATCATGTCCCAATGGAATGGATTTAAAGGCAAGTGCTTCATGAGGAAAGAAAATGCTATCTGTCAATTGATTCCTCAATCGATGAGTTTGTGAATTAATTAGTTCACTCACAGTAGTATCCTCCGAGAGAGTGTTCATGGGCATAACTACTTTAAACTTGCTTGGTATAGGAATCCATCTATCCCTCCAAATCTTAGTCTTCCTCCCATTTCCTATTCTCCATCGAGAGCCTGCTTCAATCACTTTTCGAGCTTCAAAAATACTTCGCCACAAATAAGAGAGTCTATGGCCCAATTTAGCATCTATAAAATAGTTGAGGGAAAGTATCTCACTTTCATAACCTTATGTAGAAGAGTATGCCTTTCATAGATTATGTGTCATGCTTGTTTGGATAATAAGGTCAAGTTAAATGCTCTAAGGTTCACAAAATCCCATTCCACCCTTGGACTTACTCTTACACATGTTTTTCTAGCTAACCCAATGAACTTCCTTTCTCCATCTCGCTACCCCTACCAAAAATTTGTTGTCATCGATTCAAGTTCATTGCACAGGTAATCTGGGAACTTAAAGCACTCCGTTGCATATGAATAGATTGCGATATAGCTTTTATTAACATTTTTTTACCAGTGGATGAAAGAAATTGCCCCTTCCAACCTTGCATTTTACTCCATACCCTTTCCCTGATATTGCTAAAAATATCCTTCTTCGACTGACCCACAATTGTAGATAATCCCAAGTACTTGTCGTGTTATTGGACTAGCTAAACCCCCAAAAATTCTTGAAGTCCCCTTGCCAATTCCGCATTGGTATTTTTACTACACACCATAGCCGACTTCTCAATTTTGATTTTTTGGCCTGAAGTAATTTCATAAATTTGGAGGATTTTGTTGTACTGTTCTAGCTTCCTGGGTTTTATCACTTAGAAAAAGTAGAATTTCATTCACGAAAAACAAGTGGGAGATCCTTGGACAACTTGTACCAACCGATACTCCATTAATTCTCCCATCCTTTTTTGTTGCTCTTAACAACGCCGATAGTCCTTCTACACAAATAATGAAGAGATAAGGGGATAAAGGGTCTCCTTGATGGATACCCCTCGCAGGTGATAAAAATCAAACTTGCTCATTATTTAGAATAACAGAATAAGACATTGTGGTTACAAATTGCATAACAAGGAATATGCACCTACGATCAAAGCCCAATCTGTCCATCATTTTCTCTAGAAACACCTATTCGACAGTATCATAAGCTTTACTTATATCTAACTTCAAAGAAATTTGCCCAAACTTATCCCAAGTTTTGCATTTTAGATAATGGTTTAGTTCAAAGGCCACCAATACATTATCCATTATAAGACTACAAGGAATAAAAGCACTTTGGTTTTCATAAATAATTGAAAGAAGAATCAACTTTAGCCTATTAGCCAATACTTTGGAAATTAATTTATAGAAAACATTACTTAACCTTATAGGACAAAACTGGGATATCTATTCCGGATTGAGGCCTTAGGAATCAAAATGATATGTGTATAATTTATTTTGTTCGGGAAAAGACCACCATTTAAAAAACTTAACACACAGCTAAATACATCTGACCTAATGACTCTCTAGTACTTTTGGAAAAATAGCGGAAGCATACCGTCCAGTCCAGGGGATTTTGTAGGATACATTTGAGTAAGAGAACACATTGGCATGGAACCGCTCTAATAGGCTTGCATTCATAGCATCCGTCACCTTGTAGTCCACTTCTTTCAACACTACTTCCAATTCATGTTGTTGAGGTCTAATAGATGTAAATATATTTCGGAAATAATTCACCGCCATAAGTTCAATCTCCTCTTTGCTTTCACACAATGATCCTTGTGCATTTTTCAGCTTTCTAATTTTGTTTCTTTTGTGCCTCTCCAAAGCATTCGCATGAAAAAGGTTTGTATTTTGGTCCCCCTCCTTGATCCATTGTACCCGCAACCTCGGTCTCCAATATTTATCTTCCATATCCAGGTNGTATTTTGGTCCCCCTCCTTGAGTCATTGTACCCGCAACCTCGGTCTCCAATATTTATCTTCCATATCCAGGTGTTCCTCCAATTCTTCTTTAATCACCCTTACCATTTCATTTTTCTCCTCTATCTTAACATCCTCCCTTAATACAATCAATTTTGTTTTCAGCTCCTCTAATCTGCTTTTAACATTTCCAAAACTTTCTTTTCTCCACTTGAGAAGGCTCACTTGACGATTTCTGATATTATTGAAAACGTCCTAAAAACACCCACTGCTATTACTAGGACACCAAGCATTCCTTATAACTTGTTCACAATCTATTCTTTTCACCCTATGTGCTTCAAATTTGAATCTCCTCTTCCACCCTTGTCCCACCATTGACGTTGATCTTTGTTCCACTTCTAACACCACTTTATAATGATCTGAGGCATGGCTAAATCTATGAGCTAAATTTATGACTATGAAGAGTACCTTTCATGCTAAATTCACACAAAATCTGTCCAATCTTTTCTAAACTGTATGTGGTTCTAACATGTTATTGCACCAAGTAAAAGGATAACCTTTATAGCCCAAATCCATGAGAGAACATCTGCCTAAGGCTTCCTTAAAAGCACATAATTGCCAATTTGTCCTACTGTTCTAATCCTTCTTTTCACTTTGTGAGACAATCTCATTAAAATCTCCAAGGCATAACCATGACAGATTTGAGACTGAGCCTAAGTGACAAAATAAATTCCAAAATTCCCTTTTCTGAGACACCTGTGGTTTACCATAAAACCTGGTAAATCTTCATGTGCAGTCCTTACCATAATCTATTATCACATCAATGTGCCTATGTGATAAACTTTATAGCTAAACATTCAGGTGTTTCTACCACATCAAAGCCAAATTTCCTGCCGTATCCATCGAATTAAACACCACCCCATTCATTATCTAACTTATTTTCAAATGATCTATAAACCTTGTTTTGCACTTTGTTTCCATAAGAAAAATAAAGTCAAGATTTTGGGTCTTCACAAATTCGTGAAGAGCATGAACTATTCAAGGATGCTCAATCCCTTGGCAGTTCCAGCTTAAGGTTTCATGGTGATATGTACGCCTGGAAACTAGTATTTGCCTTTGAATTACTTGAATTATTGGAAAACTTTGGGTAGGTTTCAGAGATCTCCCTTCTTCTCTTTGTCGTTGGAACATTGTTAACCTCCATGGCTTCCAGCATCTCATTTTCATCACCACTTTTCTTTTCCCTAACACCAACTTTGTTTGACTTACTGATATTTGGATTCTAGTTCCCCCTTGTCTCTAAGTTGCCTTCTTTGATTTCAAGATTGCTTTTGGATCTTCCACTACCACCGTTTTCCCTTTATCTTTCCCTTTGCTGAGTGAGGTGGGTTAGGTAGCTTTTTGGTTGGAACATCTATTAACGTAAGGCTTTGATCCTGCCCAGTAGCTAATTTTGCCTTTTAGATCTTCTTTTTGTTAGGTTTTATATTTGGGCTGGAAGAAGATTGATGAGTATAGAATATTGCATATCATGTATTTCTTTTGCGCCCATATTACATGTTTTTTGTGGTGAAATTTGGGGGAAATGCTTTTAAATTCATAATTAATGGAGATTCGTGTGATTTGTAGGTGAAAAGCAGGTAAGGTCGTGTATAAGGCCTCCCATCAAGTGCTCAAAGGCAATGAGGAAGAAAGGAATGCTTAACNGAGTTGATTTGACATTCTCATTGAATGATCTCTATGGATTAGCCAACCCTGCTTTCTGGCATTTTTACCAAAACACAATTTACAAGATTTTCCAATTTTCATTTCTTTACAAATCACCCTTCAAAGCATTTGACATTTCCTTCCTTGAGGAGATGACCTTAGAATACCTATTCCAAGTAAATACAACATTGCAAGTCTCTCTACGCTTGGGAAGCACTTTTGCACACACACACAANACCTACCTGTAGAAGATTCAAAACCTACTGGTAGAAATTGCTACTGGAATTCTTTTACCTCAGCTATGCAAAAAATCTTATTGGAAAAAACCTACCAGTAGGTTTTCTTACGTTCTACCGGTAGGTTTTGCCCCAGATTTGCCAGACATCTGCTCACATGACTCCACCTACTCCAGGGGCCCACCTCTTATCCTCTAAGCCATATCCTGACATGTTTGAAACCTCATGTGATCTCTTAAACCCTAAAGTCAGATTTGAAGTAATAAAGAGGGGAGAAGCAATAGAGAGAAGAGGGATGGTTGCTGAAGCATAGGAAGAATATGCTTGGACTAAACTTGATTATGGAAGTGTTCAACCTCCCCCCAATCATTTCAATTCAGTTCACACATGTTACGTGAGATNCAATAAGGAAATTGATGCGCCTCCAAAAGATTCATTATCCGGGTTTCTCATTTATTTTCCCTTAGATTGTGGATCACGACCATCAATTACATCTTTCAATAAATATGTGTCCTTGTTTATCACTTTCTCATTCTCTGCGACATACTTAGTCGAGATTTTTGGAGCCAAAAGATTTTCGTGCACATTACTGTCAACGGAATTTTCATCTTCATCTACTGGAATCAACTGCTCTTGTTTCTGATTGCTTGTGTTCCTTCTTCCTTTTCCCCCTTTAACCACATAACATTTTGGGACGATAGCTTATCATGGGACTCTTTCCCTTCCAATTGAATTGCACAATCTCTCTCCTCATGGCCTAGATGACCACAAAAGTAACCAAAATTGGGTCTTGAAGAAGACAATAAGTGATGATCCACCCACACCCTTCAACGTCATCCTTCTTGATAATAGCTTCGAAACTTCTAAACTAATTTTGATACGTAAAACATCTACCCCACCCCAACCCATTCAAGGCTTAAATCTATCTCCAAATAAGCACCTAGTTTTTCCCCAATAATCCTCCCTGTGGCCTGGTTCATGCTATTGAAAGGGAGGTTGCACTCTTGAATCCATAGCGGGCAATGTCTGAATTGGAGATTCATGGGTTGGGCATTCCCATCATACTTCAGTAGCAATACCAAATGGTTATCAAAAGACCACAACATACCTTCAAGGACTCTCTTTTTATCCAATTCACTCTCGAATTGAAATAAGTAAAGGTTGTTTCNAAGAGGAATTTCTTTTTGAGTATGTGAAATCAACTCTCTTTCATTCTTCCTCGTAGTGTAAAGTATTTGGTTTGACTAAGTTACATGTGGACGTGATTTTGGCCTCTTGATACACCGTAANTAAACTGATTGTTTGTGAATACTCTCCTGAACATACAAAGCTTCCCTCTTTCGTCAAGTTGTCCATCATCACCTTCAAGGACATTTAAATCTGCTTTTGCATCCTCTAAAAACTGTAACTTACTCCATAATTTCTCAAGTTCTTCATCCATAGTGACCCAAGACCGACCACAGAACACAGAAACAAAATCTTGGAAGTAGTCCCCAGATGACAAAGAGCATGAAGACAAGACCTGTAAATGAGCAGAGAAACAGAATGTAAATTTAAGTCACTTAATTCAACAAGACAAATAAGAGACTCTAAGACAACTAAAGATAACAAGAAGAGAACAACAAAATACTTCCAGTAGGATGAAACCCTAAGAAAGACGAAAAACTCTGGCGAATAGAGAGAAAACCTCTACGCTCGAGAGGACAGTTCATCCTAGTCAATTAGAAATGAGTTATTTCTAATCAATCTTATATTTGGTTAACATAGAAATGTTGTGAATTCCATAAATAAAAGTAAGTGATATATGCAATTGCTTACCATCGTGCTTAGGTAAACACTATACAACTCAATCAGTATAAGGGCATATATTTAAATTGGTTAGTTAATCCAATTGAAACCTTTTTAATACCATCTACATATGGGTTTAAATAAGATAACCATTGACATGACAGCCTCATCATCCACATGGACCAATAAGAGACTTTATCTCCAAAAGGTTGATAGCCTTGTCAGTAGACCCACCTCATGGCTAACTTACGTCAATATTCCTCAAGGTATAAATAGTCCAAAGACTTGGACCTTAGGTAAATGTGTGCAATTGAACAGAGCACTCACTATATCTCCTAGTATCCCCTCTCGCTTTCCCCCCCCCCCCCCCCCCCCCCAAAAAAAAAAAAAAAAAAAATAAG